GGGCCTGCTGCGCCCCGTGGGTCACGCCCTGGCGGGGGTCGAACTCGTGCTGCGGGGGCTGCAGACACCTCACAGTGCTAAGCTTTGATCCCTTGTGCCCCAGCGAGGGCCCCTGAAACTCTTAATCTGTCACTGTATTTAGTCTGCTGGTATTTTATTGAGAATTTTTGTGTCTGTGTTGCGCAGAGACATCGGCCTGCTACCTCCTTTCTTCGTGATGCCCTCGTCTGGGCTTGGCATCGGGCTAACGCTGGCTTGGTAAAACGTTTCGGAGGCATTCTGTCTTCTTTCATTGGGGGAAAGGTTTTCAGAAAAATAGGCATGAGTGTTTCATTGCAGCTTTGGTAGAATTTGTTAATGAAGCCATTTGGCCCTGGACTTTTCTTTTAGGGGCATTTTGTCTGCTGTTTCTGTTTCCACGCTTGTGATTGATATATTCAGATTTTCTCTCTTCTCCTGTCCTGTCTGGGTAGGCCTGCTTGTTCTTGTAATTAATCACGGTATTGGCATATGGTTGTGTGTCGTGTAGCTACTCTATGACCCTTTGTGCTTCTGTGGTATCTGTCACGATTTCTCTTCTTTCATTTCTGATTCGTTATCGGAATTTTCTCTCGTGTGCTGCAGAAAGGTTTACTGATTTTATTTATCATTTCAAAGTTCTAATTCTTGTATGGCCTTTTTGCTTTCTAGCTCTTTATTGGCTCTGGTTTGTATTGTTTCCTTCTGCTTGTTTTTGGCTCTGCTCTCTTTCAGGCTCCTTAGTGTGTCAGGTCAAGTTGTTTATTTGGAGATTTTTCTTAACGTCAGCCTGAGCCCTTTGAAGACGCACCCCTTGGTCCGCGGGTCGGCCCGGGCAGGGCGAGGAGCCCCCAGGGTGCAGGGCGCCTGCCGGGTCACGCTCGGGCCCAGGCAGGCCACGTCTGCGCTCTCTGGAGAGCTTTCTGGGGTTGCAGCCTCGGGGCGCCCGGAGTGAGACCGGAGCCCCCCCCCCCGGCCGCCAAGCAGGCCCAGGTGTCCCCTTGGCCTCCGCGAGCTCAGCACAAGCCGCGCCGCGGAGCTGCGCAGCCGCCGGCCGGGGACGGAGTCCTCCCGCGTGGGGCAGCCTGTAGTCGCAGCAGGTTGAATAATTCACGCGCCGTTAGCAACAGCCGGCTCCAGGCCTCCCTGTAAATTATGGATG